TCTTTCCCTGGTGTACGATGGTCCTTGTCCCATATTTACACTTTCAAACTAAAGGAAGAAAAAAATTTCTGCTTAATTTCAGGTTTGATGATAAATTTGGATAAAAGCATCATTCTGGGCATTAATTTGGAGGAAAGGTTGTTGTTGTTGGCTGGTGTGGTTGGATGTGCGGTTGGTTCCTGGCCAGTCAAGTAGTTGGGTTTACAAGTAGTTGGGTTTACCTTTAGGAGGAAATCCCTTGCAAGCTGCCTTTTGGGAAATCAGTGGTATCTAGAGTAGCAAAGAGATTGAATGGGTGGAAGAAAGCTTTTTTATCTAAAGGAGGCAGGTTAACTCTAATTAAGTCCGTCCTTGCTTCCTTGCCTATTTACTACTTGTCGGTATTCAGAATTCCGGTTGGAGTGGCAGAGGTAATTGAGAAGCTTATGAGAGATTTTTTCTGGTAGGGTTCTCTGAGAATAATTCAGGTTTGCAAACCAAAAGAGCTGGGAGGGCCTGGTATTGGTAATATAAGGAAGAAAAATGAAGCTTTACTAGCAAAATGGTTGTGGAGGTTTCCACTGGAAACAGAAGCTCTGTGGCATAAAGTTATTGTTGAGAAGTATGGAATGGACCAAAATAGATGGGATTCAGGGGCAGCATCGAGAGTTACTTTCAGATGTCCTACAAAATCAGTCCAGTCGGTGGCCAATATTTTTTTCGAAAGGGTTAAATGGAAAATTGTTTCGGGAGAAATTGTTAAATTTTGAGAGGATTATTGGAGTGAAGGAGGGCCCTTGTGTTTAAGATTCACCACCCTGTGGAAGAATGTATTTTACACGTGTATAGACTAAATTAGGAAAGTTTGAATATAATAGTTAGTTTCCCTAAAATTAGGTTGATTTGGTTAGTTTCCTCTTTTAGTGTGATATCTCACATATTATGGGATGTGATTGCCGTTTCTAAAGGCTAGGGCTCCTGTATATAAACCGGTTGTAATTGTCATGCAAAATACAATTTTTCCTCTCAAATTACCACATGGTATCAGAGCCTTAGGCTCTTTTTCTGGGAACGGAAACCCTAGCCTTCATCGCCAAAGGTTCCCTTTTTTTCTGTCCTGCTGCCGAGGGGGTATTCTGAAACCCTAGCCTTCATCGCAGGGTTCTCTTTTCTTTTTCTTTTTTTTTCTGTCCTGTTGCCGAGGAGTTTTCTGAAACCCTGCTTCATCGCCAAGTGTTCCTTCTCTGTTTTTCTGCTCTGTTGCTGAAGGGTTGTTTTGTGTCACTACCGCCCTATTTTTTCTGCCTCGTTGATTCTTTTTTTTTTAAGTTCCATTGATTCCCTGCCGCCACTGCTGGCAGGAAGCTTTCGTAAGAGAGCGCCTGAATTGTATCAGCCTTCATCGCTGATATTTTACTTGACTCAACCGGCTTTAATTGCCTTGGGACTGCTTGGTTTGATTGAGGATGTCGGAGGTGGCAGAAACAACAGCTACGATATAGTCGGAGGATGCAAAAATCGTTAGGCCTCAAGCCGGGGAATTGCAAAACATTCAGGCCGCATATAGGCTGAATGGAAAAAACTATCTTAAATGGTCCCAACTTGTCTGGACTGCGCTGAAAGGGAAAGGAAAAATCAGCCACATCTTAGGGACAGGGCCAAAACCGGAAGATCCACGATTTGGAGCGTGGGATGAGAAGGATTCGATGATCATGGCATGGCTATGGAACTCCATGACTCCGGAGATTAGCAATACATGTATGTTCTTGGCCACTGCCAAGGATGTATGGGATGCAATTCAAGAAACGTATTCCAAGGCAAAGGATGCTGCCCAAGTCTACGAAGTCAAAGTTAAGATGATCGCTGCAAAACAAGGAGATAGGACTGTCACTGAATATGCCAATCAAATATAAGCTCTGTGGCAAGAATTTGATCATTATAGGGTGATTAAGACCAAGTGTCCCGATGATGCAGCAATTTTGAAGGAGTTTATTGAACAAGATAGAGTTTATGATTTCCTTGTTGGACTCAATCCAAAATTTGATTTAGTTAGAATTCAGATTCTTGGCAAACAAGAAGTTCCAAGTTTCAGTGCAGTGGTGGCACTCATCCGAGGAGAAGAAAGTAGAAGGGAATTGATGCTTGAACCAAAGGGGAC